CTCAGGCAGGGAGACCTCCACACCAGGAGGGGGCGCTACGACAGTTCGCACACACACTGATGTCCTGGCTAAAGGTTCTGGCCACACGATACCCTGAGTCTTCTCCTCTGTACTGGTCTCTGGTCCAGGTTCTGCAGCCTCTTTTGTTGCGCCGTTCTTCTCGTCCAGTCTGGGCCGCTTTGTGCTCGTTTCTGAACGAGCCTCTTAAGAACAGGACAGATTAAAAAAATATCTAATTTAATATACAGTACCATTCAAAAGTTCGTTTTTTCCACAAGAAATTAATACTTGTTCACACCAAGAATGATAACTATAAAGATAACTATATTGGCGTTCACACAAACACACGTTATCAATCCGTTATCGTAGGCATCACAACTGTTTTCAACATTCATAATAATCAGAAATGTTTCTTGAGCATCAAATCATCATATTAGAGTGATTTCTGAAGGATCATGTGACACTGAAGACTGGAGGAATGATGCTGAAAATTCAGCTTTGCATTGTCATCTTACTACTTGAGAAGAACCACCATTTGACTTTATAATAAACACAATTCCTTTAAAGTGAAAGTAAAAAGGCAATTTCATTTGAGCAAAAGTAAGTAAATAAGCACTAACCTAAGTGTTTAAAACAGCTCCAGTACGATGATTGAGCTTCGCGGACATTTTGAATAGACTCCAGTGCGCTGAGAAAGAACACACAACATACAAGTGAAACTCGAAAAATTTGAATATCTTGCAAAAGTTCATTTATTTCAGTAATTCAACTTAAAAGGTGAAACTAATATATTATATAGACTCAATACATGCAAAGTGAGATATTTCAAGCCTTTATTGGATATAATTTTGATGATTATGGCTTACAGATATAAAAACCTTTTCACAATATTCTAATTTTTAATTTGGGGTTTTCATAAGCTGTAATCCATAATCATCAAAATTATAACAAATAAAGGCTTGAAATATCTCACTTTGCATGTAATGAGTCTATATAACATATTAGTTTCACCTTTTAAGTGGAATTACTGAAATAAATGAACTTTTGCACGATATTCAAATTTTTCGAGTTTCACCTGTACAACTCCAGCTTTATAGTGATGAGTGATTTGTTTGTCCACGTTAAATATAGTTACACTTTACTTTAAGGTGTGTGTTACACTGTAATTATACATTTAAGTACTGAGTAATATTAAGTAAATACTAGGGATGTCCCGATCGGAAATCGGGCCCGATCACGTGGTTTCAGACTTGATCGGAATCGGACGTAACCTCCCGATCAGGACTCGGATATATGTAAATTAGGGGTGTGACGGTACATGTATTCGTAATTATTGAACCGTTTCGGTACGAGGCTTCCGGTTCGGTACGCATACAAACCGAACGATTCCTAGGACCATTTTTCCTGCAGACAAAATCCGCGCTGGCGCGATCACCACAACGTTGCGCAACATCAAATGGCAAACGTAATGAAAGCGGAACGAAACTGCGCTACTCATTATATTGTGCTTAACGGAGCATTTATCAGTTCGGACCAGCAACATCTGTGCGAATGAACATGGATTTAATGTTGCACTTCAAAACTCAAACATTATATAAATATATATTTAAATGTTATTTTTAATGTGATGACCAAAACATTATTTGTTCATCCTTCAAAGATTACCCCCATTTATAAACCTAAAAGTTTCAAGATGTAGGAAAGCTCAAACTTATTTAAAAATAGTTTTTCTTTTAATAAATAGGAAATTTCTCTGGCATTTCTTTCTTTTTGCTGTATCGTATCGAACCGCAAATTTTGTGAACTGTTACACCCCTAATGTATATATATATTCTCATTCTTTTTTTATACACTTTTAATACATTTTTATTTTTTGTTTACATGCCTGCCGGGTATTTTAAGTTGAGGTGCTATTTGTTTTTATATTAGACTTTTTCTATATTTACTGTAGCACTAAAGTCCAAAAGTGAAGATTTTATGTTATTTATTACTTGATTGTTCAAGCTTTACTCACAGAAGTGCTCTGTTTGTTAACAGAGTTGTTGAATGTTAAAATAAGGTGAATTAAATTAAAAATAAGGAACATCCTGAATCTTTTTTCTCTCTTCTTTATTCTTTTTTTTATGTATTATATAAGTATCGGATCGGGACTCGGTATCGGTAGATACTCAAAATCAAATGACTCGGACTCGAGGGCAAAAAAACCTGATCGGGACATCCCAAGTATATACGTGTACTTACTATAGAGTTAGGATTTGGTTTGGTTTAGTTGCATGTAATTATGCATAATTTATAGTTATGACTATAGTAACTACATGTAACGTGTAACAATGACACAGTAAAATAAAGTGATATCAAATGTTGCAAATTGCAACCAATCAGGATGTATTTGATGTTAAACTTTGGACCAATAAGATTTCACTGAGGGCGGGGCTACCCAAGTACACTTCAACCAATTAAAAGCACTCGCCGCTTGATTGACAGCTCAATTCACCTCTCACAAGCGGCCCCGAGTCCCGACAGCAGCGGGGCCGGATCTCCAAGGAGCGTCTGGACGGTTTGGCAAACCGATTGGGCCAGGCAAGTCAGGTTGTACCCTCCCTAAACACGATCGAAAGAAACCAAGAGAAATCAAACATGCAATCTGAGCATAAAACTGAAGAGAACCAGGTTTTGTTTGAAAATGACACCTGACCTCCAGGACGACGCACATCTTGCCTGCAGCCAAAGGCATCAACAGTTGGGTGAGGTGTGCAAAGATCTCAGGAGAAGCACACATTTCACCCTAACACAGAAAAGACAACCATGTCAACTGATATCATCCCATACGGCCCATGAAATAGGGCTGAAGCGTTGGAGAGCAGCCTGATAGATGGACTAAACAAGATCCTGAAAGGGAAGTAACAGTTAAAGTCCCCCTGTAGTCAATCATTTTATCCCTTAAAACTCATTTTTGATCACCAAAACTACATATTAAAACGTTTTTGTCTTGAAAATCATGTCATCATGCCTTAAAATAGCTTGAATGTAACTCGACACCCTTGCCTCATTTAGTATAAGCGGTTCTATGAATATGCAAATGAGCCCCGCCTCCACTCACTCAGCTCAGAGATCCACTGGTTGACGATCACATGTTGATCTGATTGGTTACAAGGTAGTGTGTGACGTCAGAAACACCACCGATTTCAAACCGTGTTTTTGAGACTGTCTTTGGTTCACTGCAGTTTTAAAGAGAAAATACTCAGTAATGGTGTTGACTCATGAATTTGCACATGGTTCGTCTTAAAGCATATTAAAAACACCACATAGACATATAAACAATATTAAAAGCTGGATTTTCACCACAGGGGGACTTTAAGGAGCTCGCCTTAAAAAAAGTCTCTTACTTCTGGATCCCCAATGGCTGAATCAAAACCAGCAGACACCAAAACCAGCTCTGGATCAAACTGAAAGAGAAAACAACAAAAATGGTCCAATGGCCCAACATTGTTACAAAATTACATTAATAATTTAAATTTCCAATGGCCCAAAGAAGAAAGTCATATACATCTAGGATGGCTTCAGGGTGAGTAAATCATGGGCTAATTTTCATTTTTGGGTGAACTATCCCTTTAAGGCCCGTTCACAACAAGAACAAGAACTATAAAGATAACTATCTATGGCAATAAGTATATTAGCATTAACACCAACACACGCTATTGTTCTGTTTATGCTGCAGTTTTGTCATCTGCCTCTTTAAATGCTTGAGCTCTTTAAAGCAGGATGGATTCTGATTGGCTGTCAATGTTTTTATCGAACTATACTGTAATAGTTCTCGTTCGTGGAGAGAACGGGCCTTTCCTCTCGTGCGACGGGTACCTCGTATGCGGCAGGTAAAAGAACATGGAAGAAGGCAGCGAGATAGTCACTGTTCGTCATGCCCACCTGCACAGAACAAAGCACAGAAACCATGTGCATTACGAATGGCAAAACATTGTTCTGAAATTTCACTGAAAAAAATAAGATTTGTTCAAAACTGGATTTGATTGGCATGTACTGCTGTTATGAAACACGTTTCACTCATGAAAGAGCTTGATTTCAGTGGTGTTTTTTGTTTGCCTTGTTCCAGGGGAGGTTAATGTTGAAACCGGATCCTTTGCCTTTCCCGACGCTTGTATAGTCCGACTCTGGGAGATTGGGCCAGAAGGTCTGATGCTCATAACGATGCCAGGAAAAATAAAGCACGCTAGGGTAAAAGAGAAACCAGTTAGTGCTCGTACTTGGGGAAAGGTTGTGACGTGCATAAACTATTCCTCAAATTGTGCAGGTTTTGTTGAGGAGAGGTATGCAATTATTTTCATCTGGTGGATAATAAAACAGATGGAAATTTAAATTTACAAAAAAAAAATTTCATAAAAAAAATTAAATTAAAAGTAAATAATAATAATCATTAAATAAAAAAATAAATGATATAAAATAAATAAAATATAATATAATATAATATAAAAATAAATTAAATTAAATTAAATTAAATTAAATTACATGCTCAGGCAAAGATCACTCACATTTTCTTCTGAAAATGTAAACCTCTAGTTAGTAAATGCTATTGTCCATCAGAAGCGAGATGGACTCACCTTGGGTCCTCCTCAAAGCAGTGCTGAACACCTTGTCCGTGATGGACGTCCCAGTCCACAATCAAAACCCTGGAAAAAAAGCACAAGCTCAAACTCATCTATATGACATATGGAAAATCATACGCAAAATACTCCATCTGCAACGGCAGCGGTTTAGTTCTCCTTCAGGGAGCATTACAGGTGTAGCCGTGCTGTTCCTGTTCACCTGTTCACGCTGTAGCTCTTCTGAGCATAAAGAGCCGCGATGGCCACGTTATTAAACACACAGAACCCGTTTGCAGCAGAGCGCTGACTGTGGTGTCCTGGAGGCCTGAGGGACACAGAGAAGAGGGAAGTGAACAAGAATTCATTATTCAAAACTAGACATCAACATAGACTGAACATAATATATAAGTGTCCAATAACAACACGCAGAAGTGTTGATTAGCTACTAGTAATAATAATAATAATAAATAAATAAATGCATTATTAAATTAAAATCAGTACCTTAATGTATTACATTTATTATTAAATGAATATTATTAATTTATATTTAATAGGAAGATAATTAAACATTGATAATAAAAATAAAAATAAATTAAAGTAATAGCGTTAAACTATACATTATAATACTAATATAATAATAATTTAGAATGAAATGTATTAAATTAAAAAATATGAAAAATATTTTAATAATAATATTATTAATAATAATTATTAATTGTATTATTCAATTATAAACATTACATTAAAGTGTTACATTTATTAATATCAAATTAAAATGCAACATTTAAATTGTATTAAATATTACTAATATTTAATATCAAAATAATTACTGTTAATAATAGTAATGATAATAATAATGTATTAAATTAAAAACTTTAATTTATACATTAAAACATTAATTATTAATTTTGTTAATAGTAACAACAATTATTTTTATATTATTAATGTTTAATATGAACACAATTAAACAGTCAATAATAATAATAATAAATGATTAAATAAAAAAAAACACTCAATTTAAATATTTTGTTTAAACATTATTGACATTGTTAATAATACTAACAATAACAAACACAGCAAGTCATCAAATATTATTAAATATTACTAATAAATTTGATCAATATTGTTAATAATAATAAAAATGTATTATTTTAGTTTCAGTTTTGTTTTATTTTAGCACTCTCAGGACTGGCAGAGCAACTATTCCTCTGCCGCTCAAAGAAATTGCAGTTCCGTGTAGTGTGTATCGGTAAAGATAACACACACTTCACCGTTAAGCTAGCAGGTGGGTTTTATTTTATTTCCGACCTCATGAACGCAGCAGCTGCTGGATGTGTGCTCACCTGACCAGGGCCATGCCGTTCCTGACCTCTCTCTTCATGACACTGTCCACCAGCTGCAGCGTAGCGCCCACCGCCAGCCTAGCACAGCCATAGATGTTCTGCAGTCACATGACACGCTGCGTTAGAAAGCGCCTGCACTCATCTCAACCCGACAAGCGTGAGCGACCTGCACATACCTGGTGGAAATAGACATCGTTGTACTTCTTGGAGAATGCCTTCAGCTCTTCCACGGTCATTGTCGGAGTCTGTTTGACGGCCTCCAGATACTCTTCACTGCATTGAAAATAGGGATGCAATATGAACATTTTGGCCGATACCGATAACCAATAATTCTTTATGTTTGAAAGCAGATAACCGATATATTGGCCGATAAATCTAAATCCAAATTTTTATATCATTTTTGAGAGCCTGATTACAAAAACAAAAGTCTCATCATTAAAAGCCACGTCTCAAGCACACACTTATAATGTTCTCATTATTATTTGATGTAGCCAGACTTCACATGTTGCTGTAACTATATAAATTCCCTTTTTTTTTTAAAGGAGTAGTTCACTTTTAAAAAAACTTTTGCTGATAATTTACTCACCCCCATGTCATCCAAGATGTCTATGTCTTTCTTTCTTCAGTCGAAAAGAAATTAAGGTTTTTGATGAAAACATTCCAGGATTTTTCTCCATATAATGCACTTTACTGGGCACCAAACGGTTCAAGGTCCAAAAGACAGTTTCAGTGCAACCTGCAAACTGTTCAAATGGCTTTAAACGATTCCAGACGATGAATAAGGGTCTTATCAAGCGAAAGGATCGCTCATTTAAAAAATAAATAACAACGTTTAAGTTTTATAAGCTAACATGCTCACCTTGCTCTGTTCTGTGTAACTCTCCTGTTCGAACTCGTTCATCAAAATGAACAAATCTTTTTTCGAGTCATTTGATTCATTTAACGACCGAAATGAACGAATTGACTCGGAAAAAGATTTGTTCATTTTGATGAACGAGTTCGAACAGGAGAGTTACACAGAACAGCATTTGAGCATGTGAGCTTATAAAACATAAACGTTGTTTTTTTTTTTTTAAATGAGCGATCGTTTCGCTTGATAAGACCCTTATTTATCGTCTGGTGTCATTTAAAACCATTTGAACAGTTTGCAGTTTGCACTGAAACTGTCTTTTGGACCTTGAACCATTTGGCTACCATTGAAGTCCATTATATGGAGAAAAATCCTGGAATGTTTTCATCAAAAACCTTCATTTCTTTTCGACTGAAGAAAGAAAGACATGGACATCTTGGATGACATGGGGTTGAGTAAATTATCAGCAAAAGTTTTTTTTAAAAGTGAACTAATCCTTTAAGGGATTCCAATCATATTTCAAGCAATCCAAAAGCAGCATGGTGAACAGTGCGCATCTGAAGTGTCTCAGCTGAAGGAAATAATCCATTATTTATTTCGGTTATAATATATAGGCCAAATTTTCTTATCGGGCCGATAACGATAACATAAAAAAATGATCATATGTCAGCCGATACCGGTATTTCGTGCATCCCTGATTTCGAAACCAAACTTAATTGTATGGGAATAGAAACTGGCCTGGGTTAAGGTCATGTGCCGAGAGTCCACCAACCTGTGCGCGAGTAAGATCTCCTGCTCGGTGGCCTGGCGGACCGGCACTCGTGTGCATCTCTGAGCCACGCCGTGTGTCTTGAGCGCTTCATACGACACGGTCAAACGCTCGGGCACCTCGATCTCACACACTGGACTGGACAGAGAAAACGCAATTAGATTTCAATCATGACAACTCTCGGGATAGTTTAAGCATGGTATTAAATATGGCAATGTTAATGTATTTGGTCTTGTTGGACTAGATGTGCTACACTGCTGCTGATGCAGAGCAAGTATGCTAACAGATACACAGAAACGCTGCTGTGAGCATGTAAGATTTGCTGCTGCTGCATAAATAGACGTATATAAATCACGTAGCAGATCTAGGCAGGTGGAGGGGTTCAGAGGAACAGACTACTTAAATGTTGAGCAAGCAATCTCATTGGCTGCAGGATCAGCAGAGGCCAATCAGCATGCGCTATACAGTAATGATGTGATTGCTTGGAGATTGCATGTAAAGGACCGATTAGTTGGCGCCCTCTGGAGTTTCATGCATGAACTAGATATTTATGTTAAAACAGACCATGTTTATTATCCTTTGAGAAGACTTTTAGTAGATTATGGAACTGACAGAATGGGAATCTGCCAATGTGCAGTTACTGACAAATTTCGACAGATTAAACGGTCTATCAATATCAGCAATGTAATTATTCCTAGTAATAAACTATTCAGTGATACCACTATCAATCACTAAAATTTTGATATTGACTTCAAACTGCGATTTTTACTGTTTTCTAAGTGGTTGCAATACTAAAAACACATAGTATACTTCTTATTCATTTTTTTTTTTTTACCAGGGTTGATATTATAACTGAAACTGAAAGTGAAACTAAATGTTTATTTTATTTATTTAAATTACTTGAAATAAAATAAACATCTGAAATAAAATGAAATATTTAAATATATATATACATATTTATATATTTTTGAGCTAGTTGCCAAGGCAACATTTCCCATTTTCATTTAGTTTAACTTAATGTACTATTTTTTTCAGTTCACAGATATAAATTATGATCATTTTGACATGTAAGGATGATATACATCTCTATAAATCAAATCCCTTACAAAAAGAAGCACGGGATCAGGTAACGGTAACGTTAGTACTTTACCATCATACAAGATTACCATTTTCATGTAACCATGGTATTTGCAATGCATAGAACTGTGAGGTACTTCATTGAACGCTATGGTACATATCATGTCTGAAATTAATAGTATAACATGACACTTTTGTAAATGATATACGACTTACTCTGTCCAGAGGAGTTTATAACGAGTCATCTCCTCATCAAAGATCAGTGCGCTTCCTGACGCCATTAAAACACTCTGCTCTGGATGATGTTAATAAAAATAACTGATTAATAACTGTATATCATCAGTGTGATTTATAATATTATTCACAGACTCATGAGGAAGCAGGCGTACTTATATCAAAGTCCACTGTTGTTTGCATAGGTTGTTTGTGTCTTTTTCTTCGCTGTATGAACAGCGCGCGGATGTTGAATTACCGCCTCCTACAGGATTATACATTCAATAACAATCTGAGAAACGGGTTCAAATAAAAGACATTTACCTTTAAAAATTGTGATTTAAAAATGTTTAAGTAATAGACAAACTGCTCTGTATGCTACACTTAAATTGATCTACACGTGCATATCCGTCCGGATCTTTCTTACTGACCATTTGATTTGGGGGTTTTCTTTGTTGTTTAAGGATGTACCAGAGAAAGTCTAATATGGGGAGAACTCCATAGGAGAACTCCCACTCACATTAAACTTCCGGGTTCTGAACTGTTGCAGTTCCACTCTGGGTCCATATGAGGGCGCTCACAGGCGGAGTGCAGAATGAATGGAGGTCTATGGAGCAATACCCCTAAAAATCCACTTTTCTCAGGATATAATTTTTTGTCTAGTAATTCGAATGTTGTATTCGAAAGAAGATGCAAAGAAATTACACATTGCTGGGTGTTAGATTTTTTAGAGTCACTTATTTGCTTTAAAAAGTCTTTTAAAATGTCAATGACGTCATACACATCGTACGACCAGAGACCTGCTACGGCAATCCTTGGTGCTTACGCGCATAGACAGACTAGAGAAGCCGCGAAATTTAAAAATACTACTGTTATTGTGTCACGAAATGTAGTTTTAATAGTTTTTCAGTCGACAATGTAGTTGTTGAAAGCTCAAATATGTGGTTTATTTATAAAGATAGCGCTTATTTAAAAATTTTATCTGACGTTTTCGGAGTTGTGATATCCTACCGGGGTCTCAGCGCTCTGCACCCCGCCTGGAACAGCCTTTACTCGGTTAGTGCTTCTGACGTTTGTGGTTAAACATGACATATAATTCGTCTTGTGTATATCTAACGGGCGATCTTTGGTCTCATTAATCTTGTTCCCTGGCAAATCGTTTTGGCTGACGGCAAAGTGAAGTTTCATAACTTTATATTGTGGCTATTTTAACGTTACCTCCCAGCAAACACGTGACGTAACGGCGACCAAAAGTGACGTCAGTATTGGTCGTGGGTTCGTCGCGTCACCAAAAGACTATGCCATGACGTTGTGGCAACTTCATCAGAAGGTAGTCTCGTGACCACAGCGCTTGGTCGCTTCCTTACCTTCCCACAACGTTGTCTAAAGACCAGCTGATGACCAATCATTTTCTAACCTCCTCACCACGTCTTAGCCACGTCATTTCTTGACTTAGAAGCAGATGTACATTTTAATAGAAGAATTTTTTTTCAGATATTTTGTATGTACAGGTGCTGGTCATATAATTAGAATATCATCAAAAAGTTTATTTATATCAGTAATTCCATTCAAAAAGTAAAACTATAATTTAATTTATATATATATATATATATATATATATATATATATATATATATATATATAATTTAAAAATGTTACCCTATTCACCTGTGACAGGGTAACATTACCCTGTAACATTACCCTGACACTTGTTACAGTGTCTTAAGTGAGACACTGTAACAAGTGTCTCACTTAAGACTCATTCAAGTCATACAGATTTCAACAATTTCCCTTCGGTACACTAGGGGGCAGTATATGCAACTCAAACGATTGCAGCGAAGAGCTTCCGCTGCTGGTGTATAGAGTCCCACCTCACGAACCGGAACATGCGTGGATTGTGTTTGAATTTTCACTTTTCGTATCCTTTGACCGTCTTCTAGTTGTTTATTTTACACACTTTCTTATCTTTTTAGTTACCTAACGTTACAGCAGTAGTTTAACTTATCAATCGAAGAAAGAAGAAATACACCATTCCTTCAAGACGAAACAGGTAAGTGTAAAAACAACCCGCCGTAAGGGTCCCACACGTTCTCTAAAGTTTCCTAATTTTACATTTTAACCAAGATCTCTATTTCAAATGTAGTTTAAAATGGCTTTTTAACTAGTTAGGTTTAATTGTTGAGTAGACAGTGTTGCGTCACATTTGCTCAAATAGAACATGTCTGAGTGGGCCTAACGTTACTGTAGGCCTACTGTTGTTGTTTTATATGTACAGATACTGGTCATATAATTAGAATATCATCAAAAAGTTGATTTATATCAGTGGAATTTACTGCTGTAGTCTCTTACTGTGGTAATTTCATTATCCTGGTAAATAGAATAACTTATTTCAGCTTTATTTAATTGTTGTTTTGTATTATTACATATTGTTTTTCTCCCTTCCCAGTTCCTAGAAACCCTGTTTTTGTCTGGAAATGTTGTATTCACACAATAGTGGTGTGGGAAACTATTAAACTCGCATCTAATTTCTTCCATTGCAGCTCTCGGTGATTGTCTTCACTGAAATCGGAAATCACAGAAATCTGCAGTGTTTTTCAGGTAAGCATGTTTTTAAAAAAGTGATAGTATTAAATCCAATATACAAATATTGTTATTGGGGGACTGTAAACTATTCTGTTTTTAGAACTTGACAATCCACTAACTTAAACCTTTTCAGAAACATCAAGTGGCTACCATGTCCTTACTAGGGGTGTAGTTTGATACGATACACTTGTGTCACGGTTCGGTACGTTTTCGATACAGCAAAAATAAAGAAATGCCAGAGAAATGTCCTTGATATAATTTTTTTAATTATATTTTTATTAAAACTAACATCATAAAGTATGATATTTTTTTATCTGCTAAGAAAGCAAAATACATTGCATCATGTAGAATACTTGTAAATGTTTAAACTAATCCTATATTGTTTGTACTTTCCCTAATGTTCACATTTCTTTGTAGCTGACTTTAACCAGGCACTTCGGTGGTTGAGAAAGGCCGAAACATTGTCAAACGTGGAAAGTGCAGATGATGGGGCTGTGCTCTCAAAAAGGACATCAAAAAGGCCAGCAAAATTTGCTTACAGCAGCGATGAGGGTATTTACATTTACATGTAGTTATTTATTACATGCTGTATCTCTGACTGGTTTGTTGACTGGAGTTTATTATATGCTTTTTAGATGAAGACTCTGCAGAACAGGTCCTCCAAACTAATAAGAAATCCAGAGGTATGATATTAAATAACTGTTCAATATTTCTCAAGAGTACCATGCTTCACAAGACTGCCCTCTATAAGAAAATCGCTAGCATGACATTTTTGGAATTCATTAGACAGGGTCCCGTAAATGAATGATTAACCAAAGTATCTTGGTAATATGTATCATCTAGGTTTGTCCCATGGACCACCAGAGGTGCCACTTTCATGGAAATCTTCTGCAGGACCAACACACCCTCCACCTCCCATCTGCATCTTTCCGCAGACAAACACTATGAACAGTAAGTTAACAATTGTTGCATAAGCTTTGTCAAGTTGTGCGGATCTATATTAAAATATACCTTATGTTGATATTTTTTATTTATTTACACAGACCTTGATCCAGTTAGTCCTATTCAGCCTGAGATGTCTGATGGTATGATTATATTTTTATTGTTGGTTTAATGACTTTGAAAATCTTGTTTATTTGTAAAGTGTTACAGTTATCAACATATCAACATATTGACACAAAAAATGTAGCCTGGTGATTTGAACTTTGGTAGTTCTCGTTTTATAACATGCTGAACCTAAGTGTTGAGTTTAATCGCTTGCATTTTGTATTGCATATGTGCACACAGAAACTGCCAGCTGCTCCTCAAGTGTGTCAGACTCTATCTCCGCCTTAACCCAAACGGTTACAGTAATACAAGGTATGTTAATTTTTATTGTGGGTAAATTTCAGTCATGTAATAACTGCAATGTGTTATCTTTGCACTTTGTACGTTTCTGACCTTCATTTTAATGTCTTTGAAACATTTTGTGTTTCTGAAACAGAGACACTTAAGGCAATGTTGACCCGCCAGGATGTGATGGCAAAAAACATCCAGGAGATCCTCCTCCGGTTAAACCAGACTGGAGGGGCCAGCCAGGGTCCGGAGACCCCAATAGAAATCGATGTGGCCCAGTCTTTGGAAGAACTTGCTGTCTTGGAGGCAAAACTGAAAGAGCTTCCAGACTACAAGAAGAGATTGGTGGGTAATGGTTTAAACATAAAGCTATGTTTTATGTAGAGCTAAATATTTACTGCATTACGGATTTTTAATTTTCTGTATTTCCTCTGTGTAGACACACCATCTCAGTCTGATTGGTGGAGCCAACCCGGGAGAAGTTACAAGGCGTATCATGAGGGCTGTAGCTTCTAGCAGTGTCTGGAAGAACTACAGCCTTCATGGGAAGAAGGGAAAAAAAACGTTGCTGCATACAGCAGTGTACCAGGTTATCAAACGTGAGTTTAATATAAGTGTTACTTTTGGTAATAATTGTGTGGATGTTCCACAGCACAAAAAAATGCATTTATGCTTGTCTAAACAATTTCTGCTTTACAATTGGTTCATGTTTCAAAATATAGCTTGCTGTTTTCAAATCTAAAAGACAATATCAAAATGCCCTTCTGCTTCATTTAATATATATTAAATGTGTCCACCACTTGTTTTGTAAAACATTGTAATTACACAAGAAATTTACAAAACATTTACAAATTTTTTTATTCTACACAACAGGGGCTATCATGCTGAGTCGGTCCGGACTACAGGACAAAGCTGTGGAGGAACTCGTCACAAATGTTTTAAAACATGCCCCAGCCCACAGTAAACTACAGGTACAAATATACACTTCTTGTGAGCATTTCACTTAAAAGACTGTGGCAATCGACTATTACTTGTAGGGATGGGCCGATACCACTTTATGGAATGAGTAGCAGTACTTAGTATTTCATTTTTTGCACTTGCCGATACTTACAGTGTACCGATACAAAATCTTGACATTAAATCTTGAAGGTCTGTTCACTTAATTTATTTAAATTGTTTGTCTAGGTGCAGCCAGTCCCAGAAGTGGCAGTCCCACATTAGGACAATAACCAGCAATTCAGATGAAGACCTTTTTAAAGTGTTTTAA